GGAATTGGTGGGCGGTTAGAAAATTTTACTACTAACAGAGATACAAAAGTGGGCGGTAGGTATAAAAAGGTTGACTTTTTACAATAGTGAAGATTTACATCTTGTGAATGTTGTGTTTTTTAAAGTGTTGTTTTGTCTATTTATCCCCTTCCCTTGTCTATTGTAAAGCCGCCCGGAGTCCTTCGGGAGTGGGCGGCATACAAGACCAAATAAACTAAACTAAACTGATATAAAGCAATGGGAATATGTGACCCTTCTAGGATTATAGACAGTGAATCGCTGAATATAATTTTCAAGGTGATAAATAGGTGATTGTATTTTTCTCGTCTCCCACTTATGGTCTTTTCAGAAGCATCTAACACAAGGGTGTCAAACTTGTGTCATCACAACGGTGTTACATGACATATCAGGACTTTCCCCCTTCGCTAAACCAGGCATGGGCGTGGCCAGCGCATTACGCATCTGGCCCGTGGCCTGTGAGTTTGACAGCCCTGATCTAACATATAACTGCATGTAACAAGATATAGGATTAGTCAGTCTGGTCTTGAGAATTCTTATAGTATTGTTAATATTATGGCTCAGAATTTTATTTCCAAAAATAATGTTGTGTTTTTGTTCACATTGGTGCATCACTGATCATCACAACACAGTGAAGCCTCACCCTCCTGTGAACCTCTCAGTAAGCTGCAATGCCTTTGTTCCCCAAAATTGTACCATCTTCTGGCAAGATCAGCAAGAAACACAGGGCTTTAGACTGAGATACCAACCAATCCACAGTAATTCCTGGATTACGGTAGGAATGTTGAAATGAAATGAAATTGCTTTATTACAGGGTTTGGACAACAATACAAATAAAGAGAGAAAGTAAGGATATTTTATTCTTTATAATTATGCAAGAGGAGCAGATTGTTGGTGTTTTCTGGTGCTTTCCAATCTAAATCATGTCCCCGGAGGCAAGGTTTATAGCAGGATATTAAGTCATACTTTTGTTCTTACTCAACTAGGGAGTGTATATCTTTAATACTGCACCCATCTCATTTTTAATTCCAGATTTATAATCTGTCATTAATTTAACACATACTTCCAAATGCATACCTACTAACCAACATCAGTAGCATGATCTCTATCTGCTCTTCTGCACATTTTCTAAATCTTTTGGTGGATACAAGATGCAAGATGGCATCCAGAATGCTTCTTTGCACCAAAAGAAAGCAAATAGTTCTCCAGCTGACCACGAGTAAACGCATATATCTTACTAAGCCGTAATACAGTTGAGTTTTGGCTTAACATGCTTTGTGCATTGAGCACTTGTGCTCTATAAACTAAGTACAGGATATAGAAACAGGGAGCTTAGTACAGAGGTGAGCAACTCTCCCAGGCATGTTATAATCTTGTTCAGTCCTGATATTGTGGTCTCCAGCAACTTTCCAGATCATGCTTGCACAATTTGATGGCAAAACATGGTATGGTTCTCCCCCACCACACACATACATACATACATACATACATACATACACACACACACACACACACACACACACACACACACAC